CCATATCAAATATCGTCATTTCAACGTTCAAGCAATGTTCTCTGTCACCCCGTCGCTGTGACTGACGACGCAAACGAGGTCGGTTACTTTCGAGTGAGGGAAGGTGGATATTCCGTGTACTCTTTGTAAGTATGGTTTCTCTGCACTTTAATGGCTAGAGCGTTTCCCCTTCTCAGGTCAGGCTGAATGTCCTCGTCCTTAACCAAACTACACTTTCGATGAATAAAAGAATCTTCATTGAAGTATCTGCATCCTTCAACCATTTTGTCACTCCCAGCTTGACCTTAAATGGGCACTGAAAAATGTCCGTGTCACTCTTCGAAAAACTGTCCAACTACTTCGTCATATTTTAGTCTGTCAGAAGAGTCTTATGTCGACGTGACTCGGCAAATTCAAGTCGAAGTTCTTCCACGACTATATGGCGATCGAGTCCAATGCAGGTGCGTGCCATTTTCGGCTGATAAGGATGTGAGCCAATTGGAAGTTTAGGCTTTCACCTGGGGACGTCCAAATAGCTTGGGGAAATGGTTTATGAAGGAATAGAGTCCCACTGATGATTATGCTGCTTATTGCAACAAACTTTATCACATGCCTGACATTATCATTCGTGCTGCATTCCCTGCCCACAATCACGCTGAGGTCATCGTTGACAATTGTGATGTCATGGCGCGTTAAAGCGTTATTAACAGTCATAGAAAGCCTCTTTTTCGCCAGCATTCGACACATTTTTCAATGCGAAAATCACATCCAGCTTCGCCTCATTGACATTTACGGGGAAGCTCAGGATGATCTGATGAGGATTTATGAAACCTACAACGTAAAAGTGCAAACTTGGCATGTTCTCCTGGATAAGAGGATACCCGCAATCTGATTAGCCTACCAGCCTTAGAGAGAAAATCCTAAGCTACCAAATAAATCTTCATGCCTTTTCGATTATCAGCCGTTCTTCTTCCGTTCAAATCACTCTCAATTAGTCAGTAAGCTTCGATGACCGCTTATCCTTGCTGGTGGCGGAGGGAGACGCTTGCAGCGATCTTCATTCCGTGCTCCCGTTTACGCTTCGGCAAAACGGAACTCCAGCCCAATGTAGCAGAGTCATTCCATTCACTTCCATTAGGTTATTCTTGGCCGTCCGAGGGTCGACGGCAGGTCTGTTAGGCAAACAGTAAATGTTTCGTTTTCGTTTCTTAGTGCATTCGCAAGAGGTGCAGTGACTTCACGGTTTGAAGAAGCAACGGCTACAATGAACTCTCTCGGACATCTGTTCTCCGAAATATGTCGTTACGAACGAGACCAGTGAATCATCTCAGACAGCTCATTTCAGTCCCTCTTACAAGGGACCAAAGTTTGGCAGTCATGACTCACGACTCATGACCGCATTATAGCATCGAATGAAAAGACACTTGAACACCCTCAGGTTACTCTTCGAACTCAGCTCTGCTTTAATCAGAATGGTTAGCCGTAGTTCACTCATAGCGCCTCTGGCGATTCCAATCAGTTGGTCGATCTCCTCAAATTTTCCATCCCCAGTAAACACGACCCGAAGGTACTCCAACTTCTCCATGTTCTCTGTTTGCTAAAGAGAGCAGAAGGGGGGGCGAGAAGGCACTTGTCTTTTCGCTTTGGATACGTAAAACTCCACAATCGACTGCAAACCGCTTCAGAAAGCGCTGAAGATCAGCTTCAAGACATGTCAACGAAACTAGGTTGTCTGCAAACAGCAATCTCTTCGATTCTATATCTTAT